AAGATACTGCTGGCATCAGCTCCTTCGCTGGTGTAAACATCGACAAAGACGACAGCTCCACGAAGTAGAGCAGGGTCAACATCACGTCGGGGAGTTCTAGCGGGCGTACCCAAGGACGACCAGAGGTCAGACTTTGAGGGTGTGACAGGGGCAGGTGTTGAAGGGGCAGACGGGACCTCGGCAATGGTTGCGGGCATACTCTTTCTACCCTTGGTAGGGGAGTAAGAGATGACAGACGCACTCCTGGTAGGGCCTGAGGGGCGCTTGGGAGCAACTCGCGATGCGCTGAAGCTGCGCTTCTTCAGAGGGGAAGGAGATGAGTCGTCTGCAGGTTTCAGAGGAACCTTTGTGGTGGTGTTGAAGGTCTTCATGACTGGACGAACAGGTGTAATGGGTGCCATAGAAACAGGGGCCTCATTCTCATCGCCATACTCCTGACTAGCCTCGGACAGAGTGTCGTCAAAAGCTTCAGTATTGACAACCTCTTCAAGAACCTCGGGCTCCATCAGAGACATCTCATTAGCTTCGTTGGCCAACTCAACGTCCTCCTCAGTGACCTCCATGTCATCGAAAGTGGGCTCAACAATCTCGGCAGTCCTGTCGGCCTGAAGTTCTTCCATACCTGCACGCACAGTCATCTCATCTTCAAAATAATGAGTTGAAGCGGGTGAGGCCTCAGATCGAGGAGTAGCTGACTTGTTAGAGAGCTTCTCTCCACCGAGAGGAGCCATCTTGATAGGCGTACTGGCCTTCCAAGAACCAAGTCGATCAGCGAGTGCGCTAAATCCACCCATAGAAGCACGAGAAGTCTTTGGTGTCTTGCGAACAAATGGTGTTGGGGTGGTAGGCCCTACACCCTTGATGGCCATGGTCTCATCCTCAGAGTCCGAGTCTTGAGAGGGCTCCAAATCCTTGTCCCTGAGGTGGAACATGGGATTCTGTTCTTGCTGGGCAGACTGAGCGGGAGTTGAATTCTTGGACTCAAATTCCTCAGGGACATCATCTGCCTCAGCATTTTCTTCGTCAACGACCATGCTGTCCTCCTCGTCGGTAAGGTCGTTCACTTCTTCAGCCACTTCTTGGACCGCTTCAGCCTCAGTCGCAATATCTTCACCAGCCGCGACGACAGTCTCAGCTTCCACCTGAGGCTCTTCAAGAGTCTCGATGGTAGCTTCAACTGGAGCAGGCTCTTCGTCAGTCTCATCGACAATCCCCATCTCTTTCTTCAAGGCAGGGTCAGCATGACGAGGAAGCACAGCAGACAGACGGCCAGGGAATTGCAAGTTCTCAATTGGGTCATTGAAGACATCGTCATCAACAGCATCAAACTCAAGCTCAGCTTGCTCTTCCGACATAAGCTTATCCGAAGATCGGTTAGAAGGGGCACGACTAGGAGTATCCATAACCAGAGGCTTCATGACTGGTGGTTCACCCAGGTCCGCAACATCTCTAGGTCGCGGCTCTGTGACCGGCTTCAGTCCAGGCATGGCCCGCTTCGGAGGCGAAAGGAGAAGTGACGCCTTCATTGCTGATTGGGTCTGTTGAGGCTTGAGCGATGTTGCAAAGTTCAATCCCTTGATGGGTGATTGAGGTCGCTTAGCCGCGGACATGAGCAAAGAGTTCTTGAACGAAGTACTCTCTGCAGCTTGAGCGGTGTCGTCCTGAGTCTTCTTCATTGTAGATCCAGGCAGAGCAACAGGACCAATTCGGCGAGCTGGTGATCTCATTGTATCCCTGAGGGGCGAAGCTGGACGTCTCTTTGCAGGAGATAGGTTAATTCCGCCAAGATCTGGCGGATTTGTGATGCTATCTAATGCATTTGTTGATTCGGTAGATTTTTCGGTCGGCTGAGGCTGGGCTTTAGCAGCACTTGTAGGAGGCTTGATCGGGTTCTTCTTCATCGGTTTGACAGGCGGCATGTCACCGGCGAGTTCGTCCTCGGAATCATCGTCCCTCGAAACAGGTATCTGGGTAATCTTCTTAGGACTTAAAGGCTTGTTGTCTGTCGACTCGGCGAATCTTACCGCCGCTCTGGTCGTTCGACTTCCAGCTGCTCCTCCACGTTTGGCTGGTCGGCCTCTGATTCCTGGCCGAGCAGGCTCCTTGGCCTCGGTAGCAGGCTCAATGTTCTCCTTGTCGGGCTCTTGGAACTTGACAGCTTTTCTGGCAGCAGGTTTGGCGGCAGTTGTTGGTTTTGTCGTTGTAGCTGTTGTGGTAGTTGTGCGAGTGCGAGCGGTGGTCTTTTTTGCAGGGACAGGGGCTGCCGCCGGAGCAGACTCTTCTGCTTCAGCAGCAACAGCCTTCCGAGGCCGTCCCCGAGTAGCTCTGACAGGTGCAGCAGTCTCCTTGGGAGGTTCTGTGGCCGTCTTCTTGACTGCACGGCCTCTTGTGGGTTTTGTTGGTGCTACAGGTTCAACCTCAGATTCTTGGTCCTCAGTCTTCTTTGGTCGACCACGCGTTCTTCTAACAACAGCAACTTCGCGTTGCTCCTCCTCTTCCTCATCCGCTCTTGTCTTTCTCTTAGCGGCTGTGCTTTTTGTGCCTGCAGTCGCGGTACTCTTTGCCCGCGCAGCAGCTGTGACGATCTTTGTTGTCTTGACCGAGGGATCAGTAGCCTTTGCGGCAGCTCTAGCCCGGGTCATTCTCTTAGGTGGTGATTCCATTGTGATTATGGTTCGCTGTGTTGTTGGTGTATGGTTAGTATGGAAAAAGAAAGAGATTAAGTAGGCAGCATCATGTACGATGATGGATTTTGTTTATTGCAGGTCCCTGATCGGGTCGAGAGTCTTCAGTGGACAGGCCGTGTTTGGCGGCGTTGCTGGGCAACGGCCCGCTAAAACAGGCAAGGGTGCAAGATCGTAGCTGCCAACCGTGAATGTTTGCCCCGCAACCGGGAATTATCAAATTATCCCATGTCCATAACGCGTATGGGTAAGTCTGTAGCGTGCTTCTAGACATCCAATGGAATAATTGTTGACTTTAAACACGATCAAATGTCTTGGATGTCATCGCGTCTCTTTCCCGCATACTCATTGGTCCTTGAATTGGAGATGAATCGGGAAGGTCTCTTCTTGGGCCGCAGGAAGTCTACACTAATAATATGGGGAACTATCATCTCCGCCAAATTCACAAAAAAGTGGCATCGCAATAAGAGACAAAGCACAAAAAATGAACATACAACACCAGGTATTCGCTGGTCGTCACCGACCCAACTACTAATCCGGCGCTTCGGAGCTTGACTATGGGAGAGCGGACGGGATCCCGTATTCTCTCCGAGCTTTGGTCGTATGTGAAAGGTATGAAGCCAGGACGGACTTTGACGATGGACGGATGCAGATACTAGGTGGTCAACAACACTTGGCTCCCTCAAGAGGAAAGGTGCCAATCGATAGTTCCTGAGACTGGGGTAGAGAAATGGTTGTAAGAGGCAGAGCTGCCTTGAAATGTTCCCAAAAGGTGGTATCCCAAGATGAGCGGAAGTAGAATATGTGCTTTCAATACGTCCAAATTATATGTCCCGAGCTCAATTTCACCTGCGCTTCATCTTCAACAATATACAAAGGTCAAAGAGTCTCTTAGTAGCATAGAATTCAAGCGAAATTCTCTTTCTCGAAAGAAACCCAGCCATTGCCCCATTCATGGGGTATCCTGATTCGCCTCAACACCAGGCTGTCACGCCTCTTTAAACAAACAAAAACCAAAGAAGGCACTGTTGCAACAACGAACAATTACAGCGCACGCATACGCTACGCCTGTGTCGATAGCATATTCCTCAAAACTCGACAAGATCGTTCCTATTAACCGTATCGCATAGGTGCCTGTCCTTGAGGTCCGCCGTGAGGAGGTGCGTATTGTTGTGGGGGAGGTCCTCCTCCTCCACCACTTGTCACGGCCTTGACGTCCGGTCGGTTTACGAGAGGTTGATGGAAGTTGCAGATACGGCATGCGACATCGACGTACCCAGAGATGGACAAAGGAATGAGCGGCTGCGGTGGAGGTTAGTTGGCTGTAATGAAGAGCCAGAGAAGAAGAGTCTTACAATCCAACAGAACGTGAACCATGGGTTGCTCTTTTGGACATGTGCTGCCATGTTACCACAGTGGTGACATTGGAATATCATGCCCTGATATTCCGAGACTTCCTTTCGGAATGTGTGCTCGCCACACACGAAGAAGAAGAACATTATTGATGTTTAGGAAGATTCGCCAGCAGGAAGAGAAGGAAGCGGTGTAAAGCCGCGGGCGAACGTTTGTTGAAGTGGTGAGGCGTGCGATGTGATGTGATGTGTTTAAGGGAAGTCAATTAATGCCGATCCAAGACCTGGGGTTCGAGGCCAAGTGGCGCGTTGGTAGTCGTAGTCCAGGCGGCGCAGTTTCTTGGCATGGAAGCTTTAAAGTTAAGGTCAAAGGTCATGCATGCACGTACCATGCATAAATGGAAGATACTAGCTTTATAATGTTGGTAAGAGATAGAAATTTGTTCTTCAGGGAGTGCTAGCGTCAGTTATTTAATAAAGAAAGTATCTACATGAGAAGTAAGTATCATGTTCAAACCATGGAAGTGCTGGTACGAATAGGAGAGTTTCCATTTACAGGCACAACCTAAGAACAAGGTGATGACGAACCGGCAGGGGCTGGCTCTTAGTGACAACGCTCACTGTGCACGGACCACAGCTTTTTACGACTAATGGAAGCTCATTGTTCAAGCTAGAAATGGATGCTCTGACTGGTGAGGCATAGGGAATGGTTTCTACATGGTGCTATTCTTTTATTGATGACCTATCTATCTTATACCGGCCATGATACTCTCTGAATTAAAATAGATATTCAATAACCTCTGTGTAATGTGGAATGCCTCTTTTACGACTTCTAAAGCGAGGGTGGTAGAGTAGCTAAAAATATACTTGTAGGACCTGTAAACTTTGCAGCGCAAAAAAAATCTCGAGAGTAAATGCTAGCTTCCTGCGCAAAGCTTTCAACAAACCTCCACAACCCATCATCATGATTTACGATCTAAATATCGCATGGTCGCCAGCGACTAAAGATGAACAGCTTCTCCAAACACTCACTCGCGCATCGACGTTCGGATACGCAACCGTCGCGCTGAACCACACGCTGACGCTGCCGCTTCCCGCCAACAACACCGCGCCGTTCCCAACGATAGAACCCAAGCCAGGCTCCAAGCTTCCAAACATCCTCCACCGCGCGACTCTTCCTCTCTCAGATCCTTCAGCGAATAACTACCGAATCCCATCGCTCATCTCAACATACGACATCATCGCGGCCCGTCCACTGACGGACAAAGCCTTTCAGAATGCTTGTCTCACGCTCGACGTACCCATCATATCACTCGACTTGACGCAGGACTTGCAATTCCATCTTAAGCCGAAACCATGCATGGCTGCTATCAACCGTGGCATCCGCTTCGAGGTCTGCTATGGTCAAGTGATCAATGGCGATGATCGAGGGCGCCCAAGGTTTATCTCAAACTTGCAAAGTCTCATCCGGTCGACGCGCGGCAGGGGCATCATGATTAGCAGCGAAGCCAAGAATGCGCTATCCCTACGAGCACCTGCCGATGTGATAAACATGCTCAATTTTATGGGAGGGTTAAGCAACGAGAAAGGCTTTGAAGGGTTTGGCGAAGTGCCTCGATCTGTTGTGGTAAATGAAGGTATCAAGAGGAATGGATTCAAGGGCGTCATCAACATTGTTGAAGTCGCCGAGAAAGAGAAGGGCGCAAAAAAAGATGAGGATGGCAAGAAACCAAAGAACAAGGGTCAAAATCAGAATCAAAAGCGCAAGACTGGCGATGAGGATACACAGCAGATCAGTAAACGGCAGGCCAAGAAGATGAAGCTGGCCTCGAGGAATGCAGCAAATGAGAAAGAATAAGAAATTTGAGATTGGCGCTCTGAAAGAACGCGAATAGGTAGACAGCATGGCATCACGATACCCATAGATAGATGCACAAAGCTGACTGGTATGCTCTGGAGACTTGCTCACATTATTATAAGACTAGCTACAACATTACGAGCACGAATGCCCATTCGAAAGAAACCCCCAAGTCCGTCTCAAAGTTTTTTACCATTCACATCATCGTCTCCAACGCATGTCAACCATAGACTCATGGCGTGCCAGTAGCGCGGGCCTTGAGGGCTCCGTTTCCTCCTACCAAGTTGCCCAGGTTGAGCGCGCTGCTGAGCTTTGAAGGGTCGGACAGATCGATAGGGACTCGTGTCCTGGAAGCTGACTCGGCGTTGGCAGTGGTGGTGGGCTTGGTTCCGTCGAGAGCGGGCTGTGCAAGTCTTCCTGTGGTGTCGGGGCCCATGTTGCCGAGTTCCATTGAAGGGGCATATGTCTGTTGTCCTCCTTGTGTGGAAGAAGCTTCAACTATGGGTTCTTCGATGGAACTGGCAGGCTGCTGAGGAGCGGTGGACTCCGTAGTAGCCGCTTGGGCAGCAGAAGTAGTAGTAGGTTGCTCGGAAACTACTGGCTGTGTCGTTGCAGGCTGCTCAATAGAGCTGGGTTCTACTGGCGCAACTTGAGTCGTGGCTGGCTGCTCGACAGAACTGGGCTCTTGAGGAGCAACAGCCGTGGGGACAGGATTCTCAACAGGGTTGACAATGCTGGAAGGTTGCTGAGGAACAATAGTTTCCGACCTGATTGGCCCAACCACAGCAAAGGGATCCGATGCGAGTGTCGTCTTGGGCAAAAGGCTCTCGGGAATAGGGATCGTAGTGACACCAGGGTTGAACTTTCCAAGAGCATCGTCAGACTCAGCGGGGGCTTGCACAGTGTGAATCACAGTAACAGGCGCCTGGGTTGAGTTAGTATTAGATATGAGGTTTAACCAAAAGAACTTACTGGTGCTTCTCCTGGAATGATCACTGTAATGAGTTGCTTAGAGGAGTTAGTAACAGCTGAGGGATACAAGCTATAGGACTTACAGCCTGAGTAACGGTTTCAACGACAGGCTAGAAATCATTCAGTTAGCATATAGGTTTCTTGAAATGTTTTTCACATGACTTACAGGAGGCGCCGCTGCGACCTGGGTAACATATTGAGTCATGACCTGAACCTGAGTGACATAGTGAGTTTGGACTTGGTTGACGACTTCAGTCTTGGTTTCGGTGACAGTAACTGGAGGAGCGTTGACGGTAACGGTGACAACCTCGCCAGCAGCAGCTTCAGCTTCGCCCTGAACAGTCTGAACAACAGTCGCTGTCTCTGTCTCGGTAACTTTTTGAGTAGCAGTTTCAGTCTCGGTGATATAAGACAGCCTCAGTCTAGAGATTTGTTAACACTGAAAACTCAACTTTGGTGGTTTGTGGCTTAAACTCACCCTTCGAACTTGAGCGCATGAGCAACACCCTCAACCTCTGCCTGCCTCTTTTTCATTATCCCATGTCTTCCCGCGGCCTATTCGAGTCAAAGTCAGTCTCTTGACTCTGAAGTATCTCGTTGTGAGTTTTGAATATTCTCACCTGCGCAACATGGGCGGCGGTAAGCCAAAGCAACAACTTCATGATGATCCAAGCTCTTCCCCAATAACTTTCAGAATTCGATTTGGTGTAGTGAGTGAATGTTCCAACAGTCCAGCTGTTTATGAGTTTTTACGGTCCAGTTGTAAAAGAGCGACAGATATAACAGTTCGACAATAGCGATTAAATCTTGGAGATGATGATATGTCGAGTAGGTATTAAAAGTCGTTCAGTCAAAGGGACAGTAAAAGAATGATTGCCCGGGGCAGAACAAGAAGAGAAGCCGTGACGATGGGTAGTGGTAGCACCGCCGAGTCCAAAGCCCGGGCAGCACCAAAACTTACAAAGTCAATCAGTGAAAAGAGCGAGCGATTGACAAGGTCACGACGGATAGAAAACAATAAACATAACACAACAACACAATTCAGAATTCAGAATCTAAAAAAAAAGGTCAGAAGCAAAGGGAGGGGAGGGGGAGAAGAGAAATGGGATGATTCAGGTTTCTTCAGACCCAAGCCAAGCCGCGCCTCTCCGCCGCACACACCGTCGCAGACGAAGCAGGGGCACGTTTTGGTGCATCATGGTTCTGGAATCTGAGGCTCAAACGGAGACTTGTGACGCTTGGGGTTAGGACGGGCTAGGGTTGCGAGTTTGGGGATGAGCTAGGGTTCAGGGGTAAAAAGACGCTATCGCGACAAGGAGTTTGAGGGAATCAGGCATATTATTTGGTGATAACTGAGAGACCGGGTTCATGATCTGCAGTGTAAGCTTGCTAGTTTGATAACTTTATCGAAGTTGAGTATAAACTCGCAGTTTGATGGCCACATCCCAACAATTCAGCTCAATATCAAAGTCTTGATCAAGAGACTTGGCGCTACCTGTCAAGATGGGACTAAAGGGGGCTAATCAAGGCACCACCGTGCGCCGGGACTTGGCAATAGTTACCGAGACGAGATATGTTGCGATAATATCATGGAAGTTTTAGTAAGCGCTCAACAGACAATGCGCTTCTGCAATACAATCACATAGAGTTGATAGCAAGGCCATCTTGGCGGCCGAAATGCAAGACTAACAAACCATCACAAAACGGTCCCTCCCGCTGTGGTCTTATACCTCACGAAAAAGAGGCCATTCTCGAGAGCGAATTACCATGGCAAAAACATCGCGAAAAATGCCTAGAATTCTCCATCAATAGCGAGACGCAACTGAAGCACCCCTTGTTCATCCGAGGTTTCGGGAGGGGGGCCCGACCTCGCTACTTTGAGTGAATCGGCCGAAGTGCCAAGAGCCATTCAATAGGACTCGTTTGATTACACTACCGGAAGCTAATGGACGTCAAGTTTCGAGTTGACAGCTTTTAATTAATTCATCAATTTACTTACAGAATAAGGCTGAGACTTGAGATACGCGTGCCAATTGTAAGATAAGGACGTCAAATGCCGTTAAAAGAAACTCTTTTACTTTGTTAGTGCTCATCGAACTTGCAGCGATTATATACAGGGATGATAGATGCACGTCATTATTGGTGAAAGGTTAAAGGCTACATCGTTGACTCGTTACAAATATACGGTTACAATTTTAACAAGGGGATTGTGCCATTGAACTTCTAAACAGGTAAAGTAAATTATCATCACCTTGCTAATACCTACCTAATCAATAATAAGCCAGCTAACACAGGTTCATCACCCACATACCGATACTGTTCACAACTGTTTCCCATTCCCACAACACGGCCTCAGAGACAACTTCTAACGTTTGATATCTAAAACACTAAGTCTAATAAAGAGCCACGAAGCATATACTAGAGTTGTCCAAAAACTATCCCAAACTTACCTATGTTTTTTTATACTCGTGATAGAAATTCTTAGTTTTCTTACCTCCCCTAGAACAACTATCATGACTAACAAAACTCTTCAAAACACAACTCATCAATTTCATACTATGAATATGCTATTCGTTTATTGCGCCTATTCCCATGATATCACATCCCAATGCTCTCACCAAGTGAAATGTTTCAACTCCAAACCCACAATCTGCTTATCAACACCCACCAACGCCATCATTCATCTCATAATACTCATCCACTCATGTTATCATCACCATTCACCCCAGCAGAGCTTGAAGCCCTTTGACTAACAGGCATGTTACAACCCGAGCTTCCGACAAGATCCCCAGGCTGATCCAGCTCCTCCTGAGTTGATCCATAGTCCGTATAGCCGGACTCTTCAGAGTGCGTTTCAGATCCTTCGGGAATAGGAACCATGGCTGTCTTGGTCCAGATGTGAATCGCTCGCTTCCAGTCCAGACCATCAAGACATCCTCCTTTCACGGAGATGACGTTCTTTGACTATGTTCGGTCAGTGGGAGAATAACCCGTAGGCCAAGATGCAATTACGTACTGGCGTTGAGTGAATGAGACGAGTTCCGCATTTGCGACAGAAGTAACTGTTTGTAACGCTTAGCGCCCAGTCAAACAAACATGAGGCTTCTAAAACACCTACCAGTAAAGCTGATGCCCTGAGGCTGTAGGTCGACTATAATACCCCAAGCCAGTTAGTCCAGCTCGTAACACCAAACAGTTGTTTCTTACCTGTAAACGCTCAGTAGGTCTGTGTCAGGCAGCTCAAATCGAGGAAATATGGCAGAAGTGCCAAATGCTGAACCAGTTTGTCGTCTGCAAGCATCGCAGTGGCAGATGTAGAGCGCCAGAGGCTGAGGGAGGGGAGTCTTGAAGGTCACTGAACCACATTGACATCTGGCCTCCATGGTTGTAAACGAAAGGACGATTCAACTAAACGGTGTGACGGCGATTTCAATGGTGACGAAATTCGTAAGCAGAGTTTCGATCCTCAGTGTAAAACGCCGTTTCGCAACACACGAAACTCGAGGTGGAGGTTTCGATACTGCGCCGTCGTGTGGAGGCGGGGTTCAGTAATCGCCAATTGGATGCCAACTTGAACAAAAAGAATGAGGCTTGAAGGATTCAACTTGATTCAAAACAACAATTTATAACGAAGAAACACAAACGGAGTATTACTAACACAGTAGAACAAGAGTCTCGCCCCGTTATCGCTCAGAGATAAAAGAAAGTTTGACTCCGCGTTTGCAGTGCTACTACGGTACGTGACTCATGCGGCACAGTCTGGCGAGACTCGCGCGAAGTCACATGGGCTAGATCCATACAAAGACGTCCTAATTATTGTCCCGGGCTTACTACAGCACCATTTGCTTATCTTATGCAATTATTACTGTTATTCATCGTCACTTTTTTCTTATCTTGTTCGTGGATATCCTCGGCATTTAGCCTATACATGCCTCGAATAGCTTCGGATTTGCTATTGTAGGCGGTGTGGGAGCAGCCTTTGTTCTGGGCGTTACACTTTGCTTTGTGGAACGGCCGTCAACGGTCAGATGTTGAAACTTGGCATTGGCTTGGGCTATTTCCAATTGGACAGACCAAGGTGTTGTGTTTCTTATGACGTCTTCCTGTTCATCAGAGTATCTGTAATATCATTTACATGACACAATGGGCATCAACAGGTTACAGAGGGCAGAAACGGCATCTGAAGATATATCATTCTCAGTGTAGTACAAAAGCCAATAATATGCAGCCCATAACTCAATTTCGTATGCTTCAACTCCGTAACAGTACCATACCGATGCTAATGCAGATAACCAATCTTGGCCAGCAAAAACTCCAAAGGCATAACTCATGACCCATCATTCCCACGCAAACAACTATGCACGAGATCTTGTAGCCCTTTCCGCTATCAAATTGTTTGCCATGGCCTCCGTGATAGCTCCGACTTCAGTCTCTGGGTTTCTCCATGCAACCTCACTCTTGATCCATTCCATCTTCTCCTGTACTTTTTCAGTGCACACAACCACAGTCCTTCCCAGTCCTGCCTCCCTCAACTCTGTTTGCAGCGTCTCGCACCACTCAAGTTTGTCCACGGCGCTCAATTCTCTCGCCACAACCTCCATCTCAACCCTCTCCAGTCGTTTCATCAGGGCAAGTCCCTCGCCGACCCATCGCCGTGCCGCTTCGGCCCTGCGCCCCACTCCGCCTCCGAACTCTGGGCCTGTCACTACCGATGTACTCGCTCCGAGAACCATCTTCATCCGAAGTCCTCTGACTCCGGATGCCCATTCAGTGCACAGGGCGCGCCATTCCTCACGACCTGCGCCTCCGACCACTACATCTCGTGCAAGTACTTCTAGTCGAACATAGCGGAGAGAACCTCGTTGCCATGGAGCTAGGGCTCGAGTGAAGGCACGGGCAGCCCAGAGGCCTGATGCGAACCAGTTTACAAAGACAAACTCGTTCTGTGTGAACGGTAAAAGACGTGCTTCGCTGTAAATCTGGCGATTCGTGCGAAGGAGGCTGGTAGGAAGACCCGAGAGGGGACGGAATGGCGACAGCAGCCCCAGGTCTTTTTGCTCGTCACGGTTCGTTTTATCCTCTTCACTTGCAGTGTCTGCACCAACTCTGTGGACAATGTATTGACAATGAACTGGGGTTGGATACCACGGTGCAAGCTGTGCGTGGCGAACTGGACACATGAGGTGAAGCCAGTGGTAGATATTAAGCCGAATTTCGAGGGGCAATGACAGGAAAGTGAGTTTATTATCAGCTTTCTCGGTCGCAAAGCACGGCATCGTGCGTGGCACGGCTTCACCGATCGGCAAGATTTCCAGGTACGGTTGAGACGCTTCTGGGATACGGCGATATGTACTAGGAGGCATGCCAGCGCCGTGGCACCATATTTGATAAGAAGCCATCATCACGGAGCGTGAATTGCGTGAAGATGGCAGCTCAGGGAGTGATGATGAGGAGATGATGTTGAGTCCAGCTTCTCCTCACAGCTGTATAAGTAGGTAGCCCGCCCATCATGTCTCCAATATTCGGTAGTGCCAGAAAGCACAACGCTCAGATAAGGTTATCAATTGTCCCGATATTTTTCTCAATGCAACAGTCTCGTGAGCTCAAGCCATGCGCTGTCAAAAAACGCGGGGAATGTGTAGCTTTGACGCTGAGGACGTTTGAGTGACGACATGGCTGAGCATGGCGACGAATGATTGATGCAGATGCACGCGCGAATCGGCCACAGCCGTCTTCAGGTCAGCTTACTGGACAACCTGGGCTTGGCGCGGTGAAGCTCTCTCTAGCTTGAAGCTAATATCTATATAGAACTGAGGATGAGGATTTGAATGAGGTCAGCTTAGAATACCAATTGGTTTTCAATGTCTCCAACTCAAGCTGAGATGTCCTGTTCTCAGTCTGGTCAAGAAGCAACAGTGCCCAGATATTCGTATGAGTATTGTGGAGAAGTGTCGCAACAAGACTGTATAAACTGTGTAATGCACTGCTTTCAAATTGTATGAACAGTCGAAGCGATACATTAGGACTCGGAAGCCCGTCTCTGATCGCCGACTAGATACTGCTATCTTAATGCATCAGACCTAAACAGCCGTCAGCTTATCTCACTACTAACTGGGTATATCAACACCAAACCACTCACTCGCAATCCATCAAAAACGCCTTTGAGCTAAAATAGCTTGCCAACCTGATGGCAGAACGCCACAACGCCTTTGAGTTCGACCATCAGATCACTTGCTCATGAAGGAACAAAGCCTTGCTAAGGTTGTTGCGGCTGTTGGTCACTAGGTGGTATGTTGATACCTTGCAGCCCCTTGTAGACATCCACTTTGCGCTCATACTCGACGTTGCGCGGCACCTCAAAGTCTCCCCGTGCCGCAAACCAAAGCAATGTCTCTGGTTCCGCTCCTCGTACCTTGACTTCCGGGATATCTGGCTTCTCTGGCTCATCCTCTTCCTCCTCCTCGTCGCCTTCCTCCTCGTCCTCTTCTTCTTCATCGTCATCTATAGGCCTTCGTAGACCGGTCCGTACGTTTTTGACTCCATTTTCACGTTCTTCCGCTGTATAGGGATCGCTGTTCTCAGTCGATATGAAATGAATTACCCGGTCCGAGAGCCAACTTCGCAATTCCCGCCAGATTTGTTCTAGAGATTCCAGACCCTCGGGTGTAGCGAGCCGTGCTGTTTCAAGACCTTGGCTAACGAATTCTTCGACATCAGGCTCGAGTTTCTTGCGTAGGAGTTGGAGAAGCACGTTTTCTTGAGTTCGGCCTGGGTAGTTCGTCGAGGGTCGGATGGCCATGCGATTAAAGAGGTCTGCATTTTCGTTCGTGCTCTCTAGGAGCGACTTGAGGTTCTTTTGAAGAATTTTGGCTGAAGCCTGAATTGATTTTCTATTGGTATTTATTAGCTGCTGTCTCATGATGGCGCGATGCGATGTAGAGACATACGGAGGTGGCAGAGGGTTGCTCTTGAGTAGATCCTGCCTGAAGCTCTGTACGCTGCTAGACAGTTGAGCTACCTTGCTCAGTGTCTGCTCAAGGGCTTTGAGCTCATCGTCATCTAGATTGAGAGTGGCCATGATGCGTTCGCCGGAAGTGGTAGGATGCAGATGGTTTCTTCTACTGGTCGTGAATGGTTTGCAGCTGGCGAAGGATGCTGCAAAAATATGCTATATTGATAGCCAATGCTACTCCAAAGGTAGGAAGCTCCTGATGCTTGGTAATTAAAGTGTTGGATGTTTGTAAAAGAAATTCGGGTTTGACGCGGGGCATTTCAAAGCTTCCAGAACAAAGCGCGTTCCTCACCGTGTGCACACCGAGCTCGGTGTAGCGGAGCTTCCCCAAGAGCTGAGCTCAAATATCAAGCCTGGCAGTTCAGGCACGAAAGCCTCCCCTTATATCAACACCCTACTCCGTACGGAACTTTTTTTTAATACAACGCCTAGACCCTGAAACAAGCGGAGATCTCTCCACTCACCCCAGATTCTGATAATTTCATCAACGTCATGGGCCATGTTGCGACATGAGCGCCAAAATCACACAATCTGCGCTTACATGACAAGCTCCGTGGATGCCGCCGTAACGACGTCGATCTCACAGGGCGATCGGCCGCATCGGGCCCGGAAACCGACACTCCGCTGTTTCGGAGGATGACATTTGTGATATTATTGGAATTGCGAATGATTTGGATATCCAAGTTATTGGTCGGATGTTTCTCGCAGCTCATGGTGATCTGACAACTGATTGATAATCGTCACAAACAGCTGCTAGCTTGATATCAACTTGACGTTGCTGAAAGATTCTAGGCTACAGAATTAGATTGACTGGTAGACAGGTAGGCCGAAAGGTACACCAACAGTTCTTAAGCTCATTATAGTTTCATTCAATCAATTTATAGATTTTAATCAATTTTAATACAAGAAATCATAGCTGGCTATGCTTGATGCGAAAAGGAAAAAAAGAGGTCATAATTCAAACATCTTCCATGCTGTAATAACATCAAGAATAACCGCTAAAGGTGAAAACGCCGAATCAAAGGATACCTCGGTCATAAGTCATTAGTATTTGGGGGTGTGAAATTTAGCTGTTGCGAACATGGGACACGGCCTTGCTCTCGTATCCATTGGCATCAACAAACGGATAACGAGCTCGGCGTTCCAGATCATCAAGAGGGATGGTGGAGCGGATGTACCTGCGGCGTATGGCGTTAGCACGTCTTAAACTATGCGATGATGTGATTTCGTGGCTTTCCGGGGCAATGATCACTTGTGGGGAGGGTTTGGATTATCCACTTACTTCTTCCTGCCATCATCATCGGGGTTGAAGTCCCAGCTAGTGAACTCGCCCTCCTTGAGGGCGTCCCACACAACTCGTCGTGTGCGCTG